TTGTGGTATCTCAAAGTTTGAGAACCCCTGCATTACATACATCAACCACGAAGTGCTGGATGCAGGCTCTTAGTTGAGATGTTACAAACTGCCAGCTTAAAAGTCTCTGGTGTGCATCCTGTATCAGGATGGGCCAGCAAATCCTTCCTGGCTCTCTGTCCCTAGCAAGGATGCATCTGGAAGCAGGAGCAGGATTGAAGACAATATGGAGATTAACTCATGGCACTTTTGTATTCCTGGTGTCTCCCAAACTGGAGCTGGTTACATAATCTAGTGACCTGTCTGTGTTTCACATGCAAGTAGCCATTTTGCACTGGCTGGTCTGCAGGTTTCCAGATGCATATTTCAGGTGTGTATTAGCTACTCCAGGAGCCATTGTCTATGAAGCAGTGCTAGTTAGCACAGCCATTCACTGAACAGTCCTTCGTCACAATAAGCGGTCCAGGCCCATTGCTCCCTCCTAGACAGAGAACGTTTAAAATACAAGAATAGAGCTCATATCTATAACTTCACATACAAAAATCATAAAAATACATGAGTAGAAGACATAAAATCAGCTGGGCTTAAGCTTTTATTTGACGCCTCACGTATGCAGAATTTGGGGCAAACACCACCCTTGGATGCAATAGTGATCTGTCTGCTCACTTTAAAATCTAATAACATGACAGACTGTTTTTCCTCTTCTAAGACAAAAGAGACAGTGGCAGCAAGGTCTGTCTGCCCAACCTACTTCAGGCATGGCAGCTCCCATGGGTTCATCAACTCCTGCTCCACAAAGGGTCCAGTTGAGTCTGGCCCATTACTGTTCCCTGCACTGTCATGGCTAGGGCATTCAATTTCCCTCCACTCAGAAGACTTTTGAAGCAGTGGATGACCTAATCTGCATGATGGCACAGTCTTCTCCAAGGAGAGGTGAAGCACCTGTGTCAGACAGGCCACCCATTCTATTTAGGATCAAGCCAGTTAATGATTTCATGTTTTTTCCCATCTTCAGTGTGACTCTGCCCAGCACTGGCTGTTCGCACAGGGGAAACACACCAGTTCCCAGAGGTTCGCTACCAACCCTAAGCCCTGCCCAGTACTGCTCCTCTATGATCTTCCTCCTCTTAGACCTCAGAGTCTGAAATGGAATCCTATGATTCAGATAGGTGGAGCAGCAGATCTAGATGGCGGCATTATTGCCAACTTCCTTCAGGGCTGTGGCCACCTAGATGGCATTCACCAGATTAATGGCCATTTTGGATTTCCTGGTATTACCACCAGGCTTGAGGTCATAGCCAGATGTCAAAATCTTGGTCAGTGTCGCTGGACTTGGTGCTAGATCCATCTTGTGTAACAACACACATTTTGCGAGCAGCAGATCTAGATGGCGGCATTATTGCCAACTTCCTTCAGGGCTGTGGCCACCTAGATGGCATTCACCAGATTAATGGCCATTTTGGATTTCCTGGTATTACCACCAGGCTTGAGGTCATAGCCAGATGTCAAAATCTTGGTCAGTGTCGCTGGACTTGGTGCTAGATCCATCTTGTGTAACAACACACATTTTGCTGCTATCCCTACCCCAGTAACCTCTGCACTGGCAGTGCATTGTCTCCCCCTTCCACCAGCAACTAGGGATGTTAAAATGTGTTTATTTGTGTAAATGTGCACATGTTGAAAATGTCAACATGTTTACACCGAGGCAGTGAGGCAAGTACTGGCTCCCGTTTTACCCCTTCCACCTCATGCTGCTGCTTGTATCAGACTGTATTAGTGGCAAGAGCACAGGGGAGCAGCTGGCTCTCTATGAGCACCCGCTCCCTCCCCCTTGCCCTACCCCCACTGCTGTCTTTGTGGGAGGCAGCGGTGGGTAGGGTAGGTGACTCAGCGGGAGCCAGCACATGCTGAGAGCTTACTTAAAAGCTGGCTTCCCACATGCCCCATCTCCCACTCTCCTCACTGTTCCCCTCCCCCCCGTACTATCATCTTGTCTTCCACTGATGAGCCCGTTGCAGGCACCTTAACAATTCTGGCCTTGCAAGGACAACAGTGTCTTCCAACAGTTGCTGTACAGGTTGGCCCAAATTTGGGAATCCAGGCAGAGGAAGTAGCTGAAGATGCTGATTCTAGGTAGGAATATTAAAAACACCCTGCAATAGTTAACCAGTTAAAATTTGTGTTTAACTATGTAAATTAAGGAGTGTAAGATGCAGCACAGTGGAAGCCTGTTTTGTATGTGGAATTAACTGAAAAAAACCAAAACAGGTTGACTGGGATGAGGGTGAAGGAGGGAGAGAATGTGAAACCAGCAGTACAGAGTGCATCAGAGCACAAACCACAGAGAAGAGTCTTATCTAGGAGTGCACTTCAAATGGATATTGCAAGGATGTAGTGAACTATAAGAGGAAGGAACAAGGATCCGTTTCTTATTGTTGATTGAGGAAGCAAAGGGGATAGCACTTTTTGCATTCATGAAAGTTGGATGCTGGTCATAAGTGTTAGTGACTTTGGGAAGTTGCTTTGGGTGAGATGTTGCTTTAGACAAGGATTTAACTTAGTTTACAATCCATTAGAAGCATTTTAGTGTTGTAAAGCGCCCGTGTGAACCAGGCTGTTACCTACTCCCCTCATGAATGTGGTCTACATAGAGTGCTGGGAGATCTCTCTGCCAGCACTCATGCTGGGGCCACACTTTCAGTTTGAAGTGCTGCTGTGACTGTGCTTTAAACCAGGGGTCTCCAAACTACGGCCCGCGGGCCGGATGCGGCCCGCGAGGCCCTCTCATCCGGCCCGTGGAGACCTTTTTGTCTGGCCCCGCCTTCTTCTGCGTGCCGGCGAGATTATCCCTGAGCTTGAGTCCGAGCATTGGTGTCAGCGGGAGAAACGGATTCGCAGGCGGCTGCGCGAGGCCCCAGCGCGCGCACGGGACAGCAGGTAGCCCATGTTTTGATTGTTTTTTATTTGGACCTCAAGTGTGTAGTCGGCCCCCGAACTGCTGTTTGATAGTTAATGCGGCCCTCGGGCAGAAAAGTTTGGAGACCCCTGCTTTAAACCTTTAAATGTACACAAATCCTTACTCCTTATAAATAAATGTATTTGTTTTCACTTGTGCTGTTATAAGGGAACTAATACTGAGTTGTTCCAGTCTATTTATATGTATACTGTCTCTTCAGAAGCAATTTACCCGGTTATTTCTGGTAGTGTCCAGTGATGGGCTGAATATGACGTAGAGTCCCACTGGGAGAGGGCTCAGTGATTGGTGTCTGTCTCTAGTCTGCACAAAAGAAGATAAGCTGTGTAAAGGAGATATCTGTGAGCAGAGTCTTAGTTTCAGGGAACTGAACTAGAGCAGGCATCAGCAAACGGTATCACTCTGAAGGTGTATGGTGGTGAGGTGCCTCTCTACTCCGAGTACTCCTGGGAAGTGCCATAGTGGTGTCTTAAGTCTGATTTTTAATAGGCTCTCTTTTCTGCCCTTCTAGCACTTTGGGATCCAATTTTTTTTCTGTAAAACACACATTCTAACCTTTCCTCCTTATTTAGATGGGTCAGTATGTTAGCTGTTGATTTTACGTTTTGTCTTCTATTTAGTCTTGTTTGAGACCAATATATTGGTGCATATTATCTCTGTTTCTCCCTGAAATGCTATCTCTATTTTGTGTTGATCAGGTAAACTCATTTCCTCAGTTTTAGTTCCTTTTCCAAATGTGAAATGGAAAGATTGTGACAGTCCCTTGAATGTCTTCACATCTCTAAGTTCTGTTTAGACACAGACCTTTTCATAAATTGGACATTCTTTTTATGTTGTGAGAGGAAACCTTGAAAAGCCAAGAAATAGGAGTTATGGTTCCCTCAGTCCTTACAAGAACATTAAACAAAAATGTTAGAAAATCAGGAAATACAGCCTGAATATGACACTTCTCTCACAACATAACCACACAATTTTAACTTTTGGAGCATGAATGCCAACAGGAATGTCACATTGTCTTGCCTCTTCATAAAACACTGCCAATTCATTGGCCATTATAATTCCATAACAGGACTTAATACACTCCAGCAAACGCTTGTGATCAGGGCAGCATCATGATCCAGGACATACTTGCTGCTGGTAGGCTGAGATCACATCAGATGAAAAGGTTTAAGAATGGGTCAGGTACCTTGAGCTCCCTAAAGTAACCTCAGGGCAGGGATCACAAGCAGGAGAATTTTTTTTCTAATACTAATATTCTTGTGAGAAGGCATAAAACATAATTTTCTGTACATGAATTCTGATCATTAAACACACATTCTGGAATGGCACAGAGTGTGCAGCACAATAGTTGAGTTCTTGCAATCCTAACTCCATATTAATTCCATTTTTTTGTGAATTTTCCATGTTGCAAGTATTCATGATTTAAGATGCATTTGTAATTCCATTATTTTATGAATGAGCCATGTTTTCTGTTGCAAACTGCTGAAGTTATATAAAAGCTTGAAGATGAGTGGTGACTCCAGGTTTGTTGGTTTATTTTAGGACAGTGTTTGCTGTTTTAAGCATCTCGGAGAATGTCTTGCTTCATGAGGCAGCTTTAATTAACTGTGTTAGAAAGGACATGACTCTGACGTGTTGAAAGTGTTCAAAATTGTTTCGTGAGTAAACACTTAGGCTAATCCGATAAGGGTGGATAGTATTTCTCGCATTTATTTTTATAGTCTGAAGGGTTTTTTCTCTGATATTTTTCAGGAATGTTTTGGCTGAATTGCAGCTAACTATGGGTACCACTACAATGTGTGACTTTCGATAAAACAAAACCAATGAGTTAAATATTGGAATGATACTCCTTTTTATTTCCATTTCCAAAAATCTGTTTTTACTTTCTATTTAATCTGAAATTATAATTTATGGCTAAACAACACAATAGTGTTCATAAATATTATGTTTATAAAATTTAGTAGTAATAAATCCTTCGTATTCAGCTGCTCTTCAGTTATTTTTTTCTTCTTTGAATAATTCATCTTAATATTTGTTTGAATTCCAGGAAGACCATGAAAGCAGTGGTTCCAGTTCAACGAACCTCAGTACTGCAGAGTATGCAAAATCAGCAGTAAAACAACGAAGAGTCCAGCAAACTTCTCCTTCTGATCCTGATTTACCTCCAGGTAATGTACAACATAGCTGTCATGAACTGGATTGTATTTATGTTTATTTGAATGCTTTATGTGGATTTTATAAATAAAATAGTTGAATGGTTTGCTTGGGCCCATTAAATATATTTATGTTCCTAATAATGACCTGTTTCAGAAGTGCTGATCATCCACAAGTTATACTAAGGTCAAAAGGTTCAAGTAGTATTCCAAAACACAGCTAAATTAAAAAAAGAACAACAACATATCTCTTGCTACTAATTCCTCGTAGGCCTTTCCACAGAGACTAGCTCTCTTTAGTTTTTCCGGTTATTTTTGTCCGATGACCCTGTGGTCTCAGGTTCATGTAGTAGTTTGAGGCATTAGTCTAACTTTAAGAATATTAAATCTGAAGTTGCATTTTCCTTGATTTTAATCCATTGATAGAGATGCTGATCATTTGCTTTCTGCTGAGCCTGAGGATGTTGGCTTGCCCTTTAGGTATGTGACTGCTTAGTTGAAGTGAGGTCGATGGGTTTATCTGTGGTGAATCTCTGTGTTTAGATGGAAGACAGTCACTTTTATGTTAAGGGTACATCTGTGTGTTCATTATGATAAAGGTTGAGAGGCTTATCTCAGTATCTCATTTTTTTGTTGTTGTCTTAAAAGGTTTTCAGTGTGAGCGCTAATGTGAATTTAAGAAATTATCCTCTTTTGTGCACACAGCATTGAATGTTTTCCTTGTGATATTTTTCTTGTTGGTAAACTTCTTGATATAGAACATTCTAGGTTTGTTTTATTTTATTTTATTTTTTTTACATTATTATTCTGGACCTTCAGAGGTGAATAGGGTTTTTCTCTATCGCTTCATAGCAGCAGAATGCTCAAATTAGTTGTTGTCTTATTAAACTGACCTCAGGAGAGGGCATTAAAGTTTGTATCAGTGCGTCAGCTGTGTTAGTCTGTAGCCACAAAATCTATATACCATGGCACTTTTAAGGACTAACAGATTTATTTGGGCATAAGCTTTCATGGGCAAAAGCACACTGTCAGGTGAAGTGGGGACTCCTCATTATTAAAGTTTGTGTTCAGAGCACTTGGTTGCATACCAGGCTGTGTGATGGAAAAAAGTTGTAAATATTTTCAAAATAAAAAACAATTAGAACTCTTTTCATGTTATATTTAAATGAATGAAATCCTGAGTCTACTGAACTGAGTGTATGTTTTGCTATTGATTTTAATGGGGTAAGGATTTCACTTGTTACACTGAACTTGATTCCGTGTGTCTGATGCAAATCAGGAGTAACTCCATTTAATATATTAAAGTAACATGACAAGTTAGATTAGAAGCAGGCAACTTCAATTTTTGTCATTAAAATATAGTTTAATCGATAGTGTGTGCATGACTACTTTTTAAAATGCCTAAATATTTTTGGACTTGATTCCCATTTGCATTGAAGCCACTTTATGCTACATTACACCACTTTAATCATTTAACAGGGCTTTAATGTGAATGTAAGTATAATTTATTTTCACATTTTTCTTTATACCTCCAGATCAGTTTAAAGTGATGTTAGTATAAACAAGACTCAAGCACTTTATAATACTATAAATATGGTTAACAATACTTTTTAATGTATATATTCTAATGTTAAACTAGTACATGTACTCTTTTGAATTTCAGTTACAAACTTTTTTCAGCAATTTTATATTTCTACATAGTACTGATACCTTTCACTTGGTCTTCTGCATTCGGTCTTGTTTCCTTTCACAAGTCTCTAAAGAAATACTTTCCTTCCTGTAATATATTTATTATGTTTTAATACACTCATGATAGTGGCAAGATAATAGCATAATAGAAATACCTAAAAATAAAAAAATTGTAGAAGTTGTCAAAATATTTTTAATATAATAAAAGCTTTATTGGACATTGTGTGGTAAACCTTTCCTATTAAATAGTTAAAATACTCAGGTATTGGAAATTATTGGTTTTGAGTACATTCTAGGGAAGTCTTTGGTTATATATAAAATAACTGTGTTGAAACATGATTAAGACCTGTGTTTTAGCCATTTTAGAATTATGCAAATGCAAATTATCCAATAAGAATGTATATTGGGATATATGTACATTTATAGTGGTGTAACTTTAGAATAGCTAATACATTTTGCTCAGATGTGGAGGAAAAAAAGCCTACACACATTTTAGGATGAAATGAAAGAAACTGCAGCCCAAAATTTGTATGAGAAACTGGAAAAAGGAGAGTTGGAATAGATGTTGGATCTTAACTTTAATGTTAGTTATCTCTAAATGTTTGCAATTTTGGTCAACTTGCATATAGATCTGTTAACACGGAGGTATGGTTGCTGATGTCCATTCTTAAATGGCACATACTAAAACTGCAGGAAACTTTGAATCAAGGCTCTTTCACAAACTTCAGAAATCACTTCCTCATTTTATATATATTTCAATCAATACCTTCATATGTAAGTACAAGTAGGAAATTAAAAATCACTTATCAGCTTCAAGTCTGACCATAATAAATTTAAATTCACTTTTAGAAGATATAATTAGATATATTTATATGCTTAGAACTTTCTGAAATCTTAGTTCTTAACCATAGTTCTTAACCATTTTAGCCTTACAACTTCTTTTATTTACACATTTATGTAAAAGAGTATTACAACAAAGCAATGCTTATATCAGAATTTGTTTTCTCAATGTATATTACAACATAAAATTACCAAAACAAAGAGAAAAATTACAGAACGTCTCCTAAAATATTTTAGAACTTAATCCTGAGTTGTGTTTATTTCTTTAAAATAAAATCTTTACTTCCGATATTTCTCACTAGACATCAGCACATGTAGTAATACAAAATGCTACATTATTTTGGAATAAACAGATATGGTAAGCAAGTATTTTAGTGTAGTACTACTTGTATAAAACCTTCTAATTAAACTTTAATATATAATATTATGTGTATGTGGTCAGGGTTAGGGATGTTAAAAAGCAGATAATTGGGTAAATGTGTATCTGCTGAAAATTTCAGTGGTTACAGTTACCCACATTTGCAATGCTGGGCGGTAGCCAGTGCCTACCACTCCTGGGGAGCGGATGGGTGCCAAGAGGCAGCTTTTAAGTCAGCTCCTGGCAAGTACTGGCTGCTGCCCCATGCTGCTGCCTCTGCATTAGAGGCAGCAGTGTGGGATAGCAGACAGTTTCCCAGGAGTGGGGCAGGAGTCTATCTGTCACTATGAAGGTTAACCAGTAAGCCTAGGCTAATTGGTTAACTGTTCACGTGTTTACACTTTCATATCCCTAGTAAGGGTGAAAGTTGATCTTGATGACTTATTCAGCTCAAGCATAACTATGTAACTATGACCAACACCTATATAATTTGTAATTAAATATGATCTTGCTTACAACAATTCAGGTTGAACCTCTCTAGTCCAGCATCCTCAGGACCTGACTGGTGCTGAACCACAGGAGGTCAGTATTGTCCAGCAGCATTACTAATACTTTCACTGCATAGGCTAAGTCTGCACTAGGAGATAAGTTTGAATACGCAACTCCAGCTACATTAATTTAGTAGCTGGTATTGAAGTATCTTACATCTCATTTTGGCACCGTCCACACAGCAGGAGGTTGATGGGAGCACACTCTCCCTTTGACTTCCCTAACTCCTCGTAGGAGCAGGACTACTGGCACCGACAGGAGTGCCCGCTCAGTTTGAATTAGCATGCCTTCACTAGACAGGCTAATTCAAACCCCAGAAGATTGACTGCTGCAGCTTTGATCTTCTCTGTAGTATAGACAAGCCTATACTGGTCTCTTAGAAGACATTTGGGGCAAATTAGAGCTAAATAACAGCACAGCACATTGAGGAGCTAGGAGTGCAGGCTGTAAACAAACTTTATGGGACTTCAGGAAACTTGACCATGCCCATGATAAGTGGACAGCTTAAATCATGGCAGACCACGGATGTTGCTAGACCAGTGTGTGCCAGACTAAAGAGGTTCAACCTGTATTGTATTTGAAAGAGGAATAGTTCTAAAGCCGTGGTGTCCAACCAGTTCTGAAGCAGCGGTCTCTATAGTGGCTACTGGTATAGTGAACTAGCCACGCTGAACCAGACAAATAGCTACATCATTCTAGTGGCTAGTGTGTTGCATACCATGCTTTTAAAGTTTGTAAAAGGACCTTGGCATTGAGGAATGGACTTCAATTAGTCAATATTGGGGAAAAAAAAGTGTTGAAGTTTTGTTTGTTTTCTGGAGTTTGAATGAACAATTGTTAATACATGGGTACAAGTTAAATGAGGTTGAAGAAGGAAGAATTTTTAGTAAGTATTTTCAAATGTAGGTGTAATGAGGTAGATGAGGCCCAAATGCTCCCAGCTGTAGACCTCAGAGCTATGCCACACCCATCCCCAAAAAAGAGTAGTCAAAAATGCCTCTAAGCAGGCTAGAATGACTGACTGCAGGGGAAACTGAGAGTCAGGGACCAGGAGGGCCATATAAAAGGTACTGAAGATCAGAGCAATATTTAGCTGTTGCTTTGAGTCGGAGAAGAAAAGACTGCAGGCCTGGCTGCCTGGAAGAATAGCAGGGCCACTGACAGCTCATTGTGCAGAGTGAGATGCTCCTGGCTGCCTGCTAGGACTGAGTAGGGACTGAGCTTCCAGAGTGCTGTAGGAAGGTAGCATCTCCAGGGAAAAAGCTGTGTGGATAAAGACCCATATCAGGGCAGAACTACTTAAAGACCAGAAGCTCAGGGAGGGCTCGAAAGAGGCGCTAGAGGGTTACTGAGAGAAGCTCTAGTGGACTGCATACCACAGAAAGGGTTTGTCCTGGTTAACATGCAGACAGTGTGTGACTGTTGGAGTTTTTGAGTCACTGAAAAACATGCTTGAAAAGCACCAAAAGGGGTCACCAGAACGAAAGTACGTAGACATGCAAAAAAGGGGACACTCGCGAGAGGTGGGTACCAACCTTGTTATAGTAAATCTATAAATTGTTATTCCAGTATAAGGTTAAAAACAAATTCCCACCCAGCTAAATACCCAAACTATCCATTTTTTACTAGCCAATGAAGATCATGTAGTGAGAAAAAAGAGCAGGAGTATTTCCTCTATGGACTTGTTCACACACGGAAACTCAGAAAAGTTGAGGAATTAAGTATGTTTAGTGAAAGTATATTAGTTATAGTATATTACTCTCTGTTGTAGATTCTGTCGTTCAGAAGTAAAGTGATCTTAATTTGCTGTAATTTGGTCCTTGGGATTAATCTGTGTTCAATGTATCAACTTTGTATTTAAGCTTAAAAAATCATGGGAAATGTTTGTTCCCAAACGCAATGCTTGGGATTAAATCCCAAGAGAGAGTTCACCATCAGTTTTTATAAAGAGAAATTATTTTAAATATATGTTTGCTAATCCTTCAGAATTGGCTTGGAGTCTTTAGGAATGAAAGATGATTCTTTAATTAAAGGTTGTGTCATGTGAAGGGACCTTCAGAAATACATCCAACCAAAACAGGCAACCCTCATTCAAATAATCTTAGAGATTTAGTTCAGAGGGAAGATTCCACCTTACATAAAGTGGATTATGATATGGAGCTCCACATTAGAAGCAATATTAGCAACGTTCATTAATGTGACAGCAGAACTCACTGAGAATATGGAGTCCGGTGTTCCCTCTAATTTTTTTTGTGCCCGTGTATTAAATGAATTTTATGTGCACCAGTAAGGTGATGTGTGATACATAATGTCCATATTGGTACACATCACAAAACTGATTCCACATATGGATGGTGTGTATTGGGGGTGAGCTGGGGGATTAAGACTACAGGAGAGGGCTCAGGGCTGGGGCATGGGATTCAGGTGTGTGTAGGGGTGATGGCTTTAGCTGGGGTGTGAGGGCGCTCTGGGGTGGGGCCAGGTGTTTGGGGTGCAGGAGTGGGCTTAGGGATGGAGTATGAGGAGTGAGTGCTCCAGCTGGGGGGTGTAGGCTCTAGGGTGAGGCTGAGGATGAGGGCTTGGTGGGGAGTGCAGGCTGCTCTCCAGCCCTCTCTCGCTGCAGAAGCTTGGGGCCAGGTCAGATGTCCTCACCACGGCTGCAGCAGGTTAAGCAGGGCATGGCCAGGGAGGGGCTCCACTCCATGGCTCTGGCATGTCAGGGGTAGACTGGATGGGGGCCAGGAGATGGGTGCCTCTCCCACAGCTACGGCAGGGGCACGGCGGGGGGGGGTGGGGGGGGGGGGG